ACATCATGGTATTTACTTGAGCCTAAAAATACTTTTTCCTGTAGACTTGCATTGTGAAGCAGTGCATCATTTTTTGAGGTACATCACAGTACAAACAATCAGATAGCCCTTATTTAAATCATTACGTCCTAAAAGTTGTAAATTCACTACTAGCTGAATCCAAAGTTTTATGAACTGTTGTTGATGTGAGCGAGCCTGAGACCAAGCGGTTGGGAGGTGGGGTTAAAGGAAATGCAAGTGTGCTTGCTTTGCAGAAGATCCTTGTAATTTCATATCTGGAAGTTGACCTTTCAGTGAACCGACCCCTCCTCCAACCCCCGTCCTTTCATAAATCCACGGTCTGACTCTCATTTACCCCATGAATATATTTCCTTTCAGCTCAAAGTTCAAATCAAGACTTCAGTGTTTTTTCTTTCAAGTCTCAAATTAAGTCTTTAGGATGTCAGGTCTTAAATAAGTCAAATGAAGCAGAGCAGTCCATGTCAGTTGTCACTTTTGGGGCTCAAGTTCAAATTTAAAGCCTTGAACTTTTCCTTTTCTAAAGATAGAAAATGTTACTGTCACTATTCGAGGGAAGAAAGGGCCTCTTTTTTTCTCGCTTCAACTCCGACAATGAGTCATTGAGTTCTGTGTATGAAGTGGATTCTGATTCTACTCCTGTTCCTCTCTGATATTTATTTAATTCACCCTCTCAGGTTTTTGACATTCCTTTTCTTGCACCTTCTTTATACTTTGTATCTCATCAATCTGAAATTACATCGAGCAAATTCATTTTCTTGCTCTCCCAGAGGTCAAAAGGCAGAGAAACTTCTACAAGCATTTCATTTTCTTTGCGCCCGTCTTTCTTTCTAAATGGGCAAAGCAAATCTCACTCGGCAAAAAAAAAAAAAAAACTCATTAGATTTGTGTTTTGTTGAGGAAAGAAAAGTAGCAAATTACCAAGTGGGGGCGCAGATGCAGGACAAAGAGCCAGAGGTCTGGGGAAATCAGGAGTATTAGCAAACTTGTAAATCCTCTGACCCCTTTTATTTTGTAGAGTGTGCTGTTTCTGGGTCTGAGTGTCCTTGAGAGACCTTGTTGTTCATCAGGAGAGGTTGATAATCTCCAGGATGATGTGCTCCTCTGAGTTAAAAGCCTGCCATGCTGACTTATGTGTTTTCTCTGCTGCTCGTCTGCGATTCTTTGCCTGCTGCTGCAACGCTGAAATAGTGTGATTTGGATCAGCCAAGCGGCGGGCGGAAGAGCCACAGATGGTCGGCAGGTTGTTATCTGCAAACACAGACAGCCACACATGCACACACACTCACTCTCTCACACCTGTGCACACTCTTGTTATCTATTATCACCCACTGCCACAGTGTTTCTGCCACTGAACTGATTTCCTGCAGGAAATGGTCAGCTTTGTGTGTGTGTGTGTGTGTGTGTGTGTTAATGGCTAATATGTAGCATGCTTTCTAACTCAGTTTTGGGTTGCCAGTTTGTTAAAAAACATGTTTCAATCCATTACAATGCAGCTATGAAGTGGAAAGCATACTGAGTACATTCACTCAAGGAATGCACTTAAGTACTTGTACTTTACTTGAGTATTTCCATTTAATGCAGCTTTCCAAATCTCCTCTACTACATCTAGGAGAGAAATATTGTACATTTTACTTGACTACAATTAACAAGTTTTTTGTCCCTGATCCCGATCCTGGTCATTCGATATTGAGTATTGTATTTAGTACCAAGTTCCGAGTCCTGATCCGATACCTCCTAGATAATGCAGCTGCGTAGTGCACACTTTAAGCACTTTTACTTTCATTAAATCAAAACTTTAATGTTTTTTATTTATCATAATTTTTTACAGATAGTCTTTGTTGCTTCAGTGCAGCCTGTGTCTGAATTACCTAAATAAACTGTATTCAACTAAGTGTTTATTTCCGCCTGCTGTAGATCTTTTGCTTGGATTAGGCTACATCACTATATTGCTCTTATTGCCTTTTTAGTCACGGGGCTTTTGTTGCACTTACAGTGATGTGGTGAGTGTGGTTGCAGCAACATGCACCATCAACGTCAGCAAAACACAAGAGACTCTCAAACTGAGCTGAAATGAAGCAAGTGCTCAAAACTTTGGTAAATAACATTAAAAAACGGTCTCATACTGAGTTTTGCTGTCATGTACGGCTTGTTGTGTTTTGTAGTGGGAGGGGCTCAGGTTCTGCTCCTACACACATGGAGCACAGCAGAGTGGAGGAGAGAGACAGCAGAGAGTTGCAGAGTTGACGACAACTGCACTCCATGTTGCTACGCATGAAAGCGAGTAAAAACCTTGGTGTGACAGCTGACGTGAAACACAGGATTGGATTGGGCTCTATATACCTCAGTATAGCTGGCCCCAGTCAATTAAACAAAACCTTGATCGGCCCCAATACCTATTGATCGGGACATCCTTACATGCAGTACTATACTTTACTACTAATTTACCTAGTGGTATACAAGGTATCTTAAATTGGCTCCACATTGACAAACATTAAACTCCTCTACCAAAGCATAAGTGCCAAAAACTGCAGTTCCTCAAACAGCCACTTGAGGCTGGCTCCAGATGGAAGTCAATCTCCATAGATCCCCATGTTAAAATACCCAATAGACATGTTTACAGCCTGGTGCAAAGAACTGTTTTAGTCTCTATAACCATACAGGGGATGAATTTTTATGTAACTCACCTGCTTACATTTTTTTAAGGCTCAAAGTTGTGCATAATTAATGGTGTGGCTGCTTTGAGTGACAGGCTGTCTGCGAGGCATCACCTCAGGCTCTTCATCAGCTCAATCCCTCACTCCTCCACAGTTTCACCCTCTTGTTCAAATATGGTCACTTTTGGCTCCAAAAATCCAAAATAGTGACAGCCAAAATGCCAAACTGGAGGCTTCAGAACATGTTCCACAAACCAGTTGATAACATCACGGTGGCTACATCCATTATTTTAAAGAGTCTGTGATAAAAAAAAAAAGTTTAATATAATATTTCGTCAGAATGAGTTCATTTGCAAAAACAGATGAGCTGTTCTTAAAATGAATAAAACACCAGTCTGATTGATATTCCTCTGAGCGCACAGTAAAAACATGATTTATGAAAATTTAAAAACTTTGAGACGTCTTATCAAAACAAACAGTTTGACTGATATTCCCCAAACTGCACACACTAAAACATGATTGAGGAAAGTAAATGAAAGCGGAGGTATTTGCTTTTGGAAATGAACCCTTCTGATATAACTCTAAGCCACTCTGGGTAATGAATCATATTTTAAATACATTGTACTGATAATACTTTTGTGCTTCTTAGAGCTTCTCTCACCGCTGTAGATCAATTAACACTTGTGGGTTTCTTACTCTCTAATAGACCATCAAGTCTACATTAATTAGTCCTATTATTTATATCTGTCTTTGGGTATATACACTCTGCAATCCTCCTGACAGTTTATTGATGGGTCTTTGTGATATATTGAGTAGGTTAAAACACTGCCAGAGCAGCAAAGGAGATTTTTACAATGTGATAACCCCAAAGTTTTTCTTAGGGTATCTTTTAGAAAGTCGTATCAAAGTTTCCTAATTTACAGTCTATTTTTGCGACTTCCTGGTGTTTTAAGACTGAAGTTATACTAATGTGTTATGTCTCCCTGAGGGTACAGGGAACTTGGATTTACCACCGTCTGAGGAGTGCTGAAATTTAGGTTCAAGAACTCCTCCTTAAAGCAAGAACAATGGGAACAAAAGCAGAATCTGTGACAATGGCGACATGTTAAGTGATGGATTGTCATAGTGGAAAAGGCCTATAATATTTCTTTCTTTCTATATGTCAGTAAAAGAGCATCCAGTGTGGAATGATGTTCAGTTACCTGCCAGGAGTGTTGGAAAGTAGGAATGTCATTGTTTTTCATTGTTGTCTTACTGTCTGGCCCAGTTGCCAGTTGCCCAGGCAATATCTGTTATTTATAGAAACTATTTTTGACAACCAGATGACTTTAACTTCCAGATATAAAATGTGGAGTTTCTGTTTACAGCATAAATAGGAGGTTGGTTTTTATAGATGCCTAAGACGTATGTCATAGCTGTTTTTGTTGAGACAGCAGGAAGACGCGATGAGTAAGAGAAGAAGAGGTCTAGTTCCTCCCTGACAGCAGGCATCTTCCCTGCTGAAATGTCCTCGGGCGACACTGAATCATCCAGCATCCCCGAGTGCTCTCTGCAGCTCATCCTGCTCTTTGTTCTCTTGCTTTGGAGGCAGGGCGAGCAAAACGATGAGTCGCAGATCAATACGGCTTCACAAAAATAAGTCTGATTCTGAAGCTGAGCTGTTGGTTGTGAGACAGAGAGACCCCAGATTGATGCATTACTTCTGATTGGCAGAGCTGACTCCGGGCTCAGCGCTCAGGTGACACTGCGGATGATTGACAGAGCTTTGCGACGGGCTCCTGGGACTCACAATCCTGAGGTTACAACAGATGTGGAATAAAACAAGCTGCGCAGACTGTGACAAAACAAAGTAAAAGTGGCATCAGGCTGCACCTGAGGAACAAGGAGTCTGCTTTGATTTCTCTTTATACAGCCGTGCCTGCACCACAGGGATTTCACATCGGGTTTCTCAGTTTGAGTCATACTCAACATCTTGCTCAGTTTATAATGTAATCAGTTTATAATTCCTGATTACGTTACTGCACCTGTGGCTAACTTAAGATAACGTTCAGGTCATGAATGCTTTTATATTTGATCTAAATAACTTGCATCTGTCCAGGAAAGAAACGTTTGGCAAACTGAAGATGATATATTTCATTTTTCTAATTTAACTAACAAACCATCTTGTCAGAGTCTCACGGTGTTTTAGTAAAATTTGCAGACAAATGACACAATTTGATTCTGTTATGAAATGAAAGTTAACTTGAGCAGAACTTGCCGTTTATTCAAACAGAAACCAACCACACTGTTATGAGGGTAAAAATGTATATTTGTGTGTGTTTCCAGGCTGCTGACTCACCTCTTGTGCTATCTGTGCCAATGACCTGGGTAAAGGAAGGTGGCATGGTGCGACTGGATAAGAAATACCTGCAGGCAGACTACAAGGGAGTCAGCTCCGATGGCATTGTCTACACCATCCTCGCCTCAGATGGAGAACCTAAATATGGTACACTCACTCACATGGTCAGAAATGCCAATTCAAGAGATTCACTTCAAAACAGGCCCCTTATTTCTTCTTTATAGATCCTGAAGAATGCATACTCCCCAAGATGCTTTATTGTGGCTGCAGTTTTGTGGACATCTCATTTAAACAGTTTCCTAAAGTTCCTCAGTGTATCATAATAAATGTCCCAAATCTGACTGGTCAGTTCAGCTTGTGTATAAAAAGTGTTTGATCAGCTCTTCAAATTCTGTCTGCATGAGACACACGCTGACAGATTGCACCACAGTTATGGCCCAAGATAGAAGCTTATAACTTATTACCCTAATCCGTAATGCTGTGATGTGATCGGGAGATTTCCAGTCACTTCCACCCTCTCTGTCTCAGGTGAGGTGGTGCTGGTGTCCATGCCAGCTGACGGCCCAGTAGAAGGCTGGCGACCCTCGCTAACAGACGACCAAGGTTTCACGCGCACAACTTCCTTCACTCAGCAGGACGTCAACGACGGCACCGTCTGGTATCGTCACTTTGGCAGCGGCCCCAACAGCGACTCCTTCCGGTTCCAGGTCAGTGCTGATTCTTATAATCTGTTTGCACCAGATGTGTTTCAGTCATCCATCTCACTGGTGTCTGATTGCTTCAGTTTAATCAGTACAGATATCTCCACCTGATGTACAAATGCACCTGTGGCACAGAGGATAGGTTTATGCCTCGAGTCTCTTTTTTTCTGACATTTACAGTGTGTAATTAATTCAGTATCAAGCTCTGAGCAAGCGTTTTAGCCCACAGCCCACAAAAAAAAAAAATTGAATTTAATTCAGGCTTGTGCAAAAACAAAGTGGAACACTGGAGAACTTTATTAATTTCCTGTATCGTAGACGTGTAGAAGTGTTCTTTGTGAAGTACATAGAAGAAGCACAACAGCAACAAGCACCAACCCTCTAAAATGAAATGTGGGTCTGCAAAGCTTCAACAGAGTGTGTTACGCTGTGTTCACACTACGAGCGACACAACAACAGACTACAAGTCATTTTCATGGAAGCCAGTGACGTGACGCTATAAAACGTGGCTGCATGACAGGGTGGCGAGCTACAAATCAAAGTTGAGCTGGTCCCATTTTTCTCATCACTTCAGTGTTGCAGTGAAGGATCAACCAATCATCTGTTTTCAGGGTTCCTGTGGTTCCCTAAAAAGTCTTAAGAGGTACTGAGTTCATTAGTCTAAAAATAAGGCCTGAATTGGTATTAAAATGTCTTAAATTAGTCTTTTAAATGTTTTAAAAAAGCTGCGACATTGATGGGAAATAGGAACCTATGAATCTTTTTTTTCCTGACATTGTAATATCTCAAAATAATTGGTACATTTTTTAAAATACTTTACCGAATGTCTCTCACGGGAATAGAACCAACAACACTTAAATGTTTTTCTGGCCAGGATGCTAGCTTGCTGTCACTGCACCCTGGACAACATGGAGTAGTGCAAACTCCACAAAAATGTATATTTGACCAAAATTGCAGCATGGCTGAAACTGGTTAAAGGCAGTGTGTACGAGGCTCGGTGTATTTTATGCAAAACGTTTTTCAACTCCTGCACGATGGGAACAAAAAGGACAAAATCACCAAGAAAACTAGCCGACAAAAGGCAGTTATTTCCCATTTTTTCCTCCCTCTCGTCTCACCACACAACGAAGAAGTCATATTTTATGTTACAATAAACATTTGGGCAAAGTGTTCCCTTACCCAAAGTAATTGATTACAGTTCATGTTTTTTTTTTCTTCCATTGATTCTTATTATTTTAAAATTGGTCTGAAATTATATTTAGCTGTAAAAAAAAAAAAAAAAAAAGTCTTAGAGACCCTTAAAGCTACTCTTACCTTTCTTGCATTTCACACTTTGTAACGCGTTACACACAACACTGGTGACTGGCAACAAACAAGGAGGCTCGGGAAACGTAAGGCTACAGTAGGCTAACCGTTAGCAACTGGATGCTGTGTTGTCACAGTTACGCGAGTGGTTACGTCAGTTGGAGGCCTCCACGTGGCGAAGACAGACAGGACGCTCGGCCAAGCATTGCATTCGGTCCAAATGCAATGATAAGTGTTGCTTTAAATCCAACTTGCCTTAAGCTGTAGGAACCCTGGTTTTGTTTGTAGCATGGTACTGTGTTACTTACCTAAGAAAGTTGATGCTATACTTGTTGTCTGTGCATTGCGGTGCACACGGGGATGCAGTGGGGCGGTGATATGTGATGATGAAATGGGGCTCAGACATTGAAAACTTACTTTTTTTGTTGCTGTTTTTTACAAACTTTAGAGAACATTTAGTTGCAAGTAGCAGACACAAAGTTACTTAGCGATAATGTGGCTGCCCTGAGCTGTCCATGCTGTAGGTTTTGTCGCTCATGTGTAACCATAGCATTAAAATTTGCTCCTTTGATTGCATTATCTTAATCATAATGTGGTTACATGGTAAAAAGCTGAAATACCATTTGTATTTGTTTGATATTAAACTCAAAAGTAGTCATATGCCGAAAATGGTATGAGTTCACCCACATTAGACTGCTACATAAAATAATTTAAAAATACTCTGTCAGAGTAAACACGTGACAAGCTTGTTTTTTTCCTCCCACTGAGTGTGAAGGACTACTGCTGTACACATAAATAATTTCAGCAAACTGATAAAAGGAAATAAAAAAGCTGCCAGATGAGGAAACCTCAGGGGGCCGATAAGAAAAAGATAGAAAAAGAGGAGGAGATGGTGACAGAGACGCATGTCGTCTTCTTCCGTGTTTTTTCTTTCCTGGAGTGGTCTTTGAAGTTCATACTCTTACTTGTGTTCCCGTGTTCCCTTGTGTTTACCTCCTCCCTCCCTTCCTAATATGTCTCCCACTGGTTTGATTTATTTCTCCCCCCCTCCTCTTCCTCTCATATATCCCTGTCTCTGTCTTTCACCTCTATCTACCTCTACTGTTTCTTCTGTTATGTTTCTTATAACCCTGATATTGAAGCTATAAAACTATGCAGTTTATAGGAATCTGTTAAAAAATGTTCTTTGTTTTTTGATGTACAAGATACAGTCTGCTCACCACTTAGCAGTTGTTTTAATCACCAGCCACTCAACAGTTTTCTGTGTGTTAATACAGACAACATTTTGTATTTCTGACTTATTTCCCTCCTAATTCTTCTTTAATGCAGATTTCTTCTCCTTCGGTTCAGACTTTGGCACCAAACTTCTTGTGTGACTCAACGACTCTCAAAATCGACCCGTAGCGACTTATCTTGATTAGCGTTAATGACCCCAAATTACTCGCAAATTGTTTTTCCCAATCCAAGACAATCCCAGTAAAAGCGATGCAGCATTCATCACACCAAAGTTAGAGCGCTTTCATGCCAGTCTCTGTTTCACTTCGACTCCATTAGAAAAACAAAAGAGGCAGCCAAGAGCTTGTAGCTACATCTAATCATCTCTCTCCCTCCGTCCAGCCCCGCACATTTTGGCTCCATCCATCAAGGCAAATGCGTTTCAATTACACAGTGCTGGATTCAAATTAAATTCTCAAGTGTCTCGTTATTTTGACGGGAAGTGGAAAAGCAGAGGCGGCAAGGAAAAAGCGAAACCCGCCATAAACTGAAGCACCGGAAGCATTTTGTGCTGTTTGTCAGAGGTGGCGATTAAACTTGACGGTTTGTCAGGGTGGTATTATTGTCCTCCACTGCTTTTTATCGAAGTGTGTGGCGCCTTGTTAGAACTGATTGATTTGAAATTTATTCTGCTTCTGCAACTTAGAGCTCCGCAGCTGAAGGAAGTAGTCTGCACAGCACTCTACACGCATTTTCTCATGCATCAACGTGTCATTTTGCAAATGAAAGCCGTGTTCAAATCAGAGAGATGGTGATTTAGTGCGTCTGAAAATTTGCCTGGAGTGAAAATGTGTCTTTTCAAAGTTTTTATTTTTTGCTCACACTTTATTTTTGTCCTGTGGCTCAAGGAATATTTTACTGAACCTGTGCAACAAAAAAACAGACACTTGTACCCTGGTAATTAAAAGGATTAAGAGGTTATTACTTCATTTGTATAGTAAGCTATGGTGCACCCTAGTCTCTGATTCAAATCTAGACAGGGCTTTTATTTGCTTTTGCTCCCTATCTCTCTCTCCCTTCATTTCCTGTCATGTTTTTATTATCAGCTCTGTAATAAAGGCAAAGAAATGGCCACAAACACCCGTTTTGAATCTTATCAGAATTCAGTGGCCGTCATCTGTGGATTTTAGCCTCAAAGATATGGATAAGGGGGCGCTCCATACCTACAGTTAGGTTTAAAGGCCATTATTAGCCCGTTAAATGGCCATTTGCATAACCAATGTTGTGAAACCATCGCGGTTTAGCCACAAAAACTACGTGGTTAGGATCAGGAAAAGATATCATGGTACAAACACTACTCACCTGACTTTCTCCTTTGCTACTGTCTAATTATTATAGCCACAAGCAGGGGTGGGGATATAGGGACTATTCTTGATGTATCGCATCTTGTTCCATGTTGGATGTATGAATTAACTACACAGCAATCATCAAGTATAAATTGTCACTTCATTGTTTTTTTAGCCACCAGCATGAGACTCGCTTCGGCATTTTGGTTCTCTCGCTCTCTCCCTCTCATAGACACAAAAAGAAGAAGAAAAAAAGAGACTCACAAACATGATACATCACACACACTTCCCCACCCATCCAGACCACCCTCGCCTGGGCGAAAGTTCGAGCAGGTTGTATCTGCAGGGCTCCAGACTGAAGTCACATTTTGCTACCATGGAGCACTAGTGCTACCTGCAGATATTATTAACATACAAACTGTTCCCAGCTCACAGTAAATCAATCCTCACATTTATGGGTACTTTAAACTTTGCTCTGCTAACTGCTAACAGCTATCTGTTGACCAGAACCATTAACCCTATGGGCCCAAACGACGCATAGTGCGTCCAAATTCACACCTGTTCTTCTCTGTGGATTTTCTCCGGGACTGTGCGTCATAGCGAGAAGCCACGCATATCACATGAAACAGCAGTCGGTAGTCCAATGTTTTCACAGCGAAAAAAAATGATAAAGTTACACTAAAATTATGTACAACAGAGCTTTCATACAGCTTTGCACACACATTACTCTTTGATGGATTACTCGCGAATGCAGGCTCGCATATCACATGAAAGCGCAGGAGCAGAGCTTTCCATTGATATCACACACATCATTGTGCTGTCATCTCATCATGCTATAAATTCAGATTAATTGTCTACTAATTAAAATCTTGATGAATTTCTTTACAATCCATTATACAGATCTTGTTATCAGTCACTTCATATAGTGAGGAATATCGTATCTTACCACGTCTTAGGCTTACGTGTGTTTCTCCCTGTCTATCCACATTTGTAGTCCGGCTTTCAAAATGCAAATATCTCCATATTGTCCAGCTGACACTCCATCAAACTTTGTATGACAAGACCAGCCACTTCACCTTTGCGCACCCAGACAACTGCAGCCTAATTATGCATGCATGACAGGGCCGTAGTCACCATATA